TCTGAGAGTTTTCAGAATTATTTCTTGAGGAATTACCAGGATTACCTCCAGATATAGAGGTCAAGTTTCAAATTGAGATTTTAGTAGGATTATCACCAATTTTGATGGCCCCTTAATGGCCCCAAAATAACTGAGTGAGCTAAAGTCTTAGTTGCAAGAGATTTTGGATAAAGGATTCATCAGACCTAGTGTATCACCTTGGGGTGCGCCGATACAATTTATAAAGAAGAAAGATGGTTTGATGCATCTCTGCATTGATTATTGACAGCTCAATAAGGTGACCATAAAGAATAAGTATCATCTCCCAAGAATTGATGATTTGTTTGATCAACTAAGGGAGGTTTGGTATTTTCCAAGATCGATCTGCGTTCTGGTTATCACCAGTTGAAGATTCAAGAGAAAGACATTGAAAATACAACTTTTAGGATGAGGTATGGTCATTATGAATTCGTAGTTATTCCGTTTGGGTTATCTAATGCATCTATTACGTTTATAGATCTTATGAATAGAGTGTTTCAACCCTATCTCAATTAATTCATAGTTGTCTTTATTGACGATATCTTGGTGTATTCAAAGAAAAATGAGGAGCATGATGCTCATCTGTGGTTGATTCTTCAAACACTACGAAACAATAAGCTTTATGCTAAGCTATCTAAGTGTGAGTTTTGGTTATCAGAAGTAACCTTTCTTGGACATTTGGCTTCTGCAGAGGGGATTCGGGTGGATCTTCAAAAAGTAAAAGCTATATTATATTGAGAAATTCCAAAAAATGTGTCAAAAGTTCGTAGTTTCCTAGGTCTTGCAGGTTATTATCGAATGTTCGTTAAGAACTTCTCAATGATAGCTTTGCCTTTGACCAAGTTGTTAAGAAAAGATGTGTTGTCTTACTCATATACTTTTATGTATTACTCGAATTGACCTCATTATTATTACTATGATTTATAAATGATTTTTGAAATTTAATGTAATTTGTTAGATCTAGTCGTAATTTATAGACTAGGTTTAGGGGTTTATATTTGATTGTTATTAGAATTTTTGATTTTTTAAAATCTTATACTATGGAAAATGTCTTAAATAAAAATATTGTTCTAAAAAATGTTTCAAAATTTGCTACAGAATCCATGTCAATAAATTTTTACAAGTTTAATTGTGTGTGGTACTCCAGTGCCAAATTTAATATTAAGTTTAACCTTCGTGTAGTGAGCCCAATGATCATTCTTTATGAGCGTCAAACGAGGTCATCGATCCTTCTCATGGGTGGGGTCGAGCTGTTAGATTCTCTTATTCGACTATAGACATTTTTCTTCTAGTAGATCCTCCAACTATTAGTTGAGGTGATTCATCGGGTTTTTTTCAGGTGCATGTTTACAAGTTTTGTAGAAATTGATACATGGGAAAGTGTCATAAGAAGACAAGTGCTTGCTTCTGTTGTAGATCCAGTGGTCATTTTATGAGGAATTGCCCACTTCTAGGTTCGACAAAGCATACATCTACCCAAACTTGTGCACGTTCTCAGGTTTTTATTCAGACCCTAGGTGAGGTCATAGCCAGGAAAGAGCTTTGATCTGCTTCCAAGATTGATAGTAAAGCATGTTCACAGTAGAGTACAAGGCCAATTATATGTGATGCTAGACAGTCATCTTTTTTGTATACTACTAGACGTAGGGATGACATAGATGAGCTAGAGGTTATCACATGTACTTTCACTATTTATTTATTCCATACTTTTCATTGCTAGACAACTGTTCCACCCACTCTTATGTTTCGAGCTATGTATCCTGAGACCTTGAAATTTTGATCGAGGACATCGAGAGTGATGTTACAGTTATGAGCATAGTAGGATAACTAGTGGTTGTGAATAAAGTATTTTGATGTTGTCTTCTGGAGGTTCAAGGAGAAATTTTTCTTACTGGTCATATGGAGCTTCCTTTGGAGGATTTCGTTTTGATTATGGAATGAATTGACTGAATGAGTATCGAGTTAACCTGGATTACGAGTACAATACAACTACTCTGAAGACTTTTGATGGTAGACTATGGTACTAATTAAGGAGCTTCGAGGCTGTATTTTCAATATAGTTTCGGCTTTGACTGATGATCGGATGATCCGAAAGCATGTATTCTAAATACTATACGAGACTAGAACATCAGTATATTTCAAATGACAATTTGAATGGGATCCGATTGTTATTTGTTTGACATGTCTAGATACGATCTTCAGTCTCTTACCTTTCCAATGGCACTTGAAACCCGATAATTCGATGTTGGGAACTCAAGATACATCCATTTTAGTGAAGACAATGCATGCAAAAATTCCTATATGTGATTAATATGGGATTTTTTAAATATTACAAATTTTCAATAGTTTTATTGATTATTTGTAATACAATTTAATATAGGATGATGATTATCTTTTAGTATTCAATTTATTATTTTATTAGAGATTGAGATAGATTTAAAACATTATCTTTAGTTTATTATTATTTTATTAAGAAATATGATAGAATTAAAAAATTATCTTTAGTTTATTATTATTTTATTCAGCAGTTACTTCAATTCACCATTGTAAATAAGATTTCTTTGATTAATAATACAATGAGAGTTTGTTTTTGCAAGTACTTATTGCCTTGTGCTTTCGAAGCATTTATCATCATTAAGTTCTTCATTAGAGAGATCTTCACATTCCAGTTTGCCTTCTCATTGTGATTAGGAGAGCTGGTTATAGTCGATTATCGAATTTGTCTAGTCAATTGTGGCTAGTAGGGTTCATAAGACAACTATCTATCAATAACCATCATCATCATCGTCAAATCAATATTATCGCTCATCAACGCCAAAACCCTAATTTTAGCTAAGTTTCCTTATCTTTATTCATTTATCGTTTTGTTTTCGTTGTCTTAATATTCATTGTCTTAATCTTGTGTTCTTATTTTAATTTTATAGCAACATTCTTCCCCATTCAAAACTCTAGATTGCGACAACAATCTAATTCATATTACATCTCGTTCTTTGATTGAGTCTAGACCCCTAAGTTTGATTCTTCAACTACGAGAAAAGTTCATCACTCTGCTATCATCCCCTACCAATTTTTATGGCTTTATTAGCACTGTCTAAGCTAATGTGAGGTTCAACGAAACCCACAATTTCAGGATTATTGTCCCGCAAAAATTTGCGAGAAACACGATTGAAGTTACGATGGCTGCAACCTTGAGCGTTCCACATAAAAAAAACTTGAGATTCATAGATAACAAATGGAGAAAGGAGACTACAAATAGTGGTTTATTCAACCATGGCCTCTTGGCCATTATCAGATTGCCCCCTGTATAGGCAGCAACTAGAATTTACTGGTGACAACTGTCATCAAGATGGACGACTTAGTGTTTTGATTGATCAAGAAGAGCTAAAGATTTTGTCTTTGTTTAAAGAGATCTCATAACCACGACTTTGCAAAGAATGTGTTCCCTACATGGGAGCAAGGCTAAAAGCATGTTTACTTTTAGAATTTTTATTGAGCAAAATACCTGGATTTTTAGGACATGTGGGTAAGAAAGTTTTTTTTTGAAACAACCGATTTCCTTTTAGCCTTGGAATTAATTCGAGTAACATTAATGGGGCTGGTGTTGATTTGCGCGGAATCCTGAGGAGAGATTTGCTCTTGGACAACATCGTTGGAATATTTCAGAGTTAATTGAAAATTGGAGACAACCGATTGATTTTGGGGAATCGTCTAAAAAATAGGATTATTTTTTGGCAAAATAGGATCTGGGATATTATCAGCATGATTGGCGGATGATTTAGCGCGTGATGGTCATTTCTTCCGTTCCACTAACAACCCTGGACCGAAAGGGCCGGTCGGTGCTGGATTTTCCAGGATTGGAGGTTCTAGTTCACTGTTTTCTTGTTGCATGGGTTCTGGTTCTGCGACATTTTGTTCCTGAAGCTTTGGGCAAATATCTTTAGGGTGATCATAGATTCCACATTGGAAGCAAATCGTTGGGAGAGACTCATATTCAATAATTTGCAGGCGACCATTGATGATAAGTTTTGAAATTAAAGGTTTTCAAAGGTTGATGCTAACTGTCATACAAGCAAATCAGTCTCTGTAACCATTAACCATTTGGAAATCGATTTTGATAACGGATCCAATTTGAGTACTAATGGCTTCAATGAAACTGCATTTGTAGAGAGTGATTGGTGATCCGGGGAGGCAATCCAAGCCATAAGGCAGCTAGGAGAAGCTCGAGAAGGGTTGATATCAACGGATCAATATTCAATTGCTATGTAATGACCAAATATAGTCCAGGAACCTTCGGTTAAAACTTTGAGATAGTCTCCACGATCCTTGAACCTAATCGGGAAAATATCATTCTCTATGTCAATCAACTTGGGAGTATGAGTCGGTTTCCATAAATTGTAGATTCGATTTTAGAGAGTATTGTAGCCAATCTGGCGTCCCAGGACTTTGACAAAAAAGGTGAGTTTCATGCTTTTAATGGCACGAGCTTAGACTCGATCGGGGAAATCAATGGTTGGAACGCCTTCCAATAAACCAATAGTAATATCATCATCATGGAAGTCGAAATCATCAAGTCTTTGTAGGAAATGGAACGTGGAGAAGAAGATGGATTGCAGACCATCATCGACGACAAAGAGGGGTCAGCAAGAGGGGGAGGTGGGGGTGCTTCATCCCTCCCACCACGCTTTTTAGGGGCTCCGGGATCAAGGGAGTTTTCAGAGGGCTCCATTAATTTAATTTTCTTTATAAGCTAGTTATTGTAACAAAAAATGCAATGGCACTAGGATTGGTCAACAAATATTTATGACTAGTTTGAATTTTAATATTTAAATGATGACTATCTTCTATCAAAAAAATGATGAATATCTAATAATAAAGATATCATCTTTCGAAAAAACAAAGGTGCCCATATGTTTTAACAAATATAGCATATTTATTTAATTAGAAAGATCCACTTATAATTGTAAAAATCATATAATGAATATGAATGGAATTTTAACTATGAATACATCAAGAATAAGAATGGAATAAACGAAACATTAAATATTTGTTACTAATAATATTTTATTCAGTTTTCCAATGAAATATTTCTTCAATCCTTTCTCCACGTTGATTGCAGGGTAGAGCCACATCAGGTACCTCCTCAATATCCTTTGCAGGCTGGTGCAGAATAGTATATAAACAAATATATATTACATATATACACATCATTCCATGGTATCGTAAAATAAAATAAAATAAAAAACCAAGTACCTGCAACAGTTCTAACAGGCGCCATATCAAAAAGTCGATTATCATAACCAAGCAAAACAGCTTGCCTGCCCATGCTCCGCACGAAAGATACCTAACAAGCCATCGCCTAGTTATAAACCTTCGGAATAACCTTGAAAATCAATTACTGGTTTTACCAAACCTTTCAAAGTTACAGGCTACCACATTGTATGTTACTCGGATACTACATTGTCCCTAAGATGCCCGTGTCAGATGCGGGATAGGACATCCAGGAACATGGATATGAGGGTATCCCCTTCAAAATATATGGGAAAGATTCAAAAAATTTAGTATACCCGTGTTGAACATATACTTATTTCCATATTCTTCTCCAAGTCCGATTACAAACTTCTTTCTACGAATACAGTGTGCATTTACTGAACAGTACGAGTTCAACGTGTATAATCTGTTGATAATTGCTAGGTTGAATCAAAGTTTTTATTTGATTACTTGCTAGATCAATTTATATTCTTCGGCCTTCCACATCAAACACGTTTAAGAAAGTTTCCATGTTTATAGACTCAACAACATACAAAAAATCTCAGTAAACATGAAAAGCGTGAAACCATCATTACTATGTATTGACTAAAACAAATTTGTCAGCATCATCCACTGGGAAAACACTCAATGACATACCTTGAAAGTCGTTCTAGGAGACTCTGATCGGAACATTTCAAAGCACGATTGTATACTATCTCGGTCCTTTTGGCCACGTCATTCCAATTATAAAGGTTCTTCATCTTTGACCAAGAAAAAAATTAAAATGAAAACAGAAATAAGCATTGTCCACCTCACACAATACAAATTACTATATTAAGTCAAAATAAATAACCTACACGATCGTGCATAACCTGCGGATCAATATTAGGAAGTATAGATATTGCCTTCCTAATTGCATGTACCATGTCACATGGATCAGGTTCAGCAAGTACTATCATGTCATCTGGTAAAACCTAAAACAAATAAATGGAAAATTATAGGATAAATAAATTTCTATCGTTTTATGTGCTAAAGTATAAACCAACTTGGTATGTCAATGTTAATGAGAGTTTGAAATACATGCCTCTGGAACACCTCCTACACGAGTACTGACAGTTAACAGTCCACAACTTGCAGCCTCCAATATGGCTATGCAGAAAGCTTCGGTTAACGAACTATCAAAAGGAAGAGCAAAAATAACATAAAAAATCAGAGAAGTGACCTTTACACTAGATTACAAAATGATCAAGGAATGCTAACTTGTCCCCTTTGTATATTGTTTTCCCCTCTTTTCTTTGCTCATATGGTTGCATAAAGAATTAATAAAATTAAAATGGTGGTCTATAGGAACCAAACTCAATTTACCTGTTTAAGAATATGTGACCAGAAATCAGCACAGACCTTACAGAAGCATGTGGTACAGCCCCCAACATCTCAACTCGATCCTGAAGAGAATGCTTTTCTCTCATCTCTTCCAACCGCACGCGTTTAGGTCCATCTCCACCAACAATGAAACGAACCTTAACAGTATTCAAAAATGAGAAAATTTAACTCCAAATAACAAGGGATACAAAATTATAACATTTTTACAATCATACTTTCAACTAAATGCCAAGTCGTCATCCAAATGAGGAACTGTTTGACCAATGGGAATACAATACCAAAAAGTTAATTAAAAATTAAAACACGTCAATGGATCACCCATCGTCAGTGTAGCAGAATTTCAGATGTCTTGATGATGAGTACAAATATGGGAGACTGTGCATGTGCAAGGAGCAACATAAAAATTAGCTGACCCTATTCCCATATGTAATGGGGGTAAGGGGGAGGTAGGGTAGTAGGCTGCCCCCAACGCCAGGTTGAGAGCAGCTTCCGTGGAAGACCTCCGTTATGAATTGCCCTTAATGGGACTCGATCCCACGACCACAAGGTTAAGAGCCCTGTAACCTACTAACCATCATAATTATTAGAAAGTTGTAATAAACCTTGTCCCAAGCAACTCCTCTCACATTAACTATAGAAAACAAACCAAAAGAATGGACTACTGAATTATTTTCTAAGACTAACACAAATTCAATCACAAAAAACAAAAATGGATATAACAATCTTTTATGCAAATTGCAAATAAAATATAACAAGCAGTTGCATTCATCACATTGGAAGATACTGATGAAAAGATAGGATATTTTATTTTACATAAACATATCTTTCACTTGTAAATAGGAATTATGCACCAAAATACATAGCCAACCTCGGTTCATATACAAAAATAAGAATGACCTTTTTCAGCTTAGTCTGAATTAGCCGGTAGCAGCACTAACCCTCATTGCAGAATACCTAACCAAAGGGCATAGGTAACAGAAAAATCTAACCATCTCATACCCTTGCTGGTAGCTGGTGAAGAAACATGAAAATTGACAGTTCCTCATTTCTAACTAATACCAGGACAACTGAAAAGTAACAGAACAAGCTAATAGATCAAAACCTTTTCAGCAATAAACATGGTGTAAGCAACTCACATTGGGATACAAACGGCAAACTTCTGGAATGACTTCTACAAGTAAATCTGCACCCTTCCGATAAACCAACCTACTTATCACAACAATAACAATTTCATCACGGCCAAGACGCACTTGAGCAGGCTTGAACATAGCTGTGTCCACAGCATTAGGTATTACAAAAACCTTTTCTGGCGGCAAACCCGACCTTAGCACTGTATTTTCCTTGCTTGTATGAGAAACACAAATGGCCCGGGTTACATCTGCTAAAGTAAACTGCAGAACCTTGTTCATGTGGATGCTTCCCGCATCAGCAAAACCATACAATGAATGGTCAGTAAATACAACCTTGTATCCCATGGTACGTGAGTGCATCAAAGTCTCGTGGCATAAAGTAGAAAAGGCTTGATGACCATGCACAAGTGATATCTTTTCTCGAAGAAGTATAGTCCTTATTATTGGAAATGTTCCATAAAAAGTTGGGAATGTATTCTGCATGAGGAATGGCCGCCATGGTACATAATAAACCTTCAAACCACCAGTCATATATCTCACCCCAGATCGATTTCCATAAGCATGGGTCAAAACAACCACCTGAAATGATCGAGTAAATATATTATCCAATCTAGCAAAACAAAAGGACTGGAATTTGGTACTTATTGCATTGAGATTTTGAAGAAAAAGAAACATTTGATATGCAGGAAAGGAAGGTAAAGTAGAATTGGATGGTAAAGAAAGGAGCAAGGAATTTAAAACTAGTCTGGAAGAGCAGGACGAAGAAATATACAACGAACCCTTCCAGAGGCATTATATTATTCTTCTACCTAACATTAGCATATCTAAAACCTTCTTTTGAAATATAAAACAGAAAAGATTTCCTTTTTTACCAGGTTCTTTGCTCATGTCAAAAGGCAAAACAGTGCTCACAAACAGATTTAAAACCTACAAACTTACAAAACTTTTCTGACCTTGTGACCGAGTTTTAGCAGGCACTGTGACAGATAATAAATGTGATTCTCGACACCACCAAAGTTGGGATAGAAAAAATCAGAAACCATAAGAATTCTGTGCTTCAGGTCAGCCATGAAGGCATTCACCTGCAATAATAATGGTAAAATCTTCTTTATTCTAAGAACTTGAGAGAAACTAGCAGTAGAGAGGGGTGTCAAAAATGGAGTAATCCAAACAACAATGGCTGTAAATGATCCCCTATACCTAGCATTTGGAAACCATATTCTTTTTAATTGCTCAAAGAGAATGCAGCAGAGCAGGTTGGTCATGAGGGATGGAAGCACAGAAACTGAATATTATTATTAAAATGGAAATAAGCCCTCTTCCTAATAAATACAAATTGAAATACAGATTTCTGCTAGCAAACATTAATATTGCAAAGACAATAAATAATTTAAGCAGTCATATTTGCAAATTCTGCCATTACTAATGAGCATTTAACAATTTATGCAGTAAGAAACAGTTTACAGTTTACCGAATAAATTGGAAACGAAAAAAGGGCAGGCAAAGAAACACATCAGTGGTTCTCTCTCTCTAATCATTAGAGATGATATGCAAATAGTTATTGGTGCTGTTCAAAGGTGCAAACATGCACAAATGGTTCAAGCAAAATGCTACAAAAAATACTTTGGAAATGTGTGATCGAAGAGGGAAGTTGAATCAAATGCATAAACTTATGTAAAACATCAAATAAACCTCTCCCAATTGTATATAGTACTTCTAATCTGCATAGAACACCATTGCCAAATCAAAACTTTGGTGAATAAAAGCCATCCATTGTATGTCATTGTAGCAAGTTTTCTAGAAGATTAAGCGTTAAAAGCTGGATTTTATTATTGATAAAACTTCTCATCCCCAATTTCTCCCTTTCTCTCCCCCTTGAAAGAATTATCTATTGTGTAAAAGAAAACAAGTGAGGAAAATTATAGCAAAATCAACCAGTATCGGATCCTCTCCTGGCACCAAGCAAAATTCAAAACCCAGAATTCAATTACATTCTTATAAGGAACAAAGGAGAGAGAGTAGAAGCAAACAAAGATTATATTTATAATTTTTTTTTTACAAAACCACAACTCAATCAAATTTTACAAATAAAATCCCACAGAAAACAAAGTTTTTTTTTGCCTATTAAAAAAATTGAGCAATAATCTTCTCACTACACTATAGTTTAATTCTCCAGACTAGTTCAATATCATGCCTAAGAGTGGATTATGCAGAACAAGCTATGAGACCATAAGATCCATATATTGAAGCTATTGGGACCACTAAGAGGGGATCCAAACATAAATCAAAGAGGTTTATTAGGAGATTAGTCTAAGAGTTTCTAGATAATCAACCATTCCGCTAATGAAATCCATGCAACTCCAAACTAAGTTAGTAATCAAGAAGCCATTTCCAGTAGATATCAATTAGCACGAATTTCAACTTGTTCAGCAAAAGGCTTCTCCTTATGCAGGCCACAATGAGTATTTGAAATAAGATTTTCAAACATTTTGCTGAAGAAACCTCTACGGATGAAAATATCACGATAAAGGCAAGCTTGCAGAGGTAGTTGTCAAGATGGCTAAAAAATGACACAGAGACGTTTTGAATGAAATCAAGGATGCATCCAAGACACAAGAAAAAAGTATTGGCGATAATGGTGACGGCGGGCCAATCGACACAGAGATCTTAACAAGAAAAAAGTATTGGCAATTCACCACAGGAGTTGAGAGGAGGGCTCGGGAGCTCAGAACGACGGCGGGTCCCAGATCGGAGAGGAAAACTATGGGTTTGATTTCTGGCAAAAAGGTCGATTATATAGAAAGGAGTTTTGGGTAAACTACACAGTTTGGCCCTTTATTTTATAGTATTCACGAAACAGAATACAACGTTCTTCATGTGTTCAATTCAGTCTTTATATTTCCAAAACTTTCTAATTAAGCAGCTAAAACCAATGTTGATGGGCGTATGGGGTGCATCTCTGGTTGTTGTTAAGGGTGTAAATGAATCGAGCTTGAATGAATAATGTTATGTTCATGTTTGTTTGTTTACTTTTAAGGTATTCATTTTGGTTCCTTTTTATTTAACTTTTTAATATAGTGTTTGTGTTCAGTGGAAGAACTTGGTGATATAATTAGGGGTGCTAACTTAAAACTTTAAAAATTTTAGGGATTTAAATTAAATTTTTTAAAAGTTTTGAAGAGTTCAATTTATATTTTTCAAAAAAATTTAGAGTGTTACTAAAAATTTTAAAAATTTGAGAGACTTAATAAGATTTTTTTTTTAATTATGGGAAGAGTTTAATTAAGAACATTAAAAAAATTAAAGCTTAATATGAATTTTTAAAAATTATGTTGGTGTAAATAATTTTTTTTTATTTTAAAGGTTTGAAATTAATTTTTTTTTCAATTTTTTCGGGTATGGCCCTCACATGTCTCCACTTAGTTATGTTGGTGTTCGTGTTCGTTTATTTATTTTTAAAAATATTCATGTTCGTTTAGTTATTATTCACGGACATAGTAATTTAACATTTATGAATGTATTCATTTAATAATTATTTAATGTTAGTTTATGTCTGTAAACACTCATTTTCGTTCGGGATTTCAAGGGTCTTTATTACATTATATAGTATATATGATATATATATATATATATATATATATATATATATAATTTCAAAAATATATAATATATTTAGTTTTTTTAAAGATATATAGTATAGCTTTTGAAAACATATTTTTGAAAACATATATATATAGAAAACATATATATATATATATATAATATATATATATATTATAATTAGTTTTTAAAACGGTTTTTGAAAACATATATAATATATATAATCTTTGAAAACATATTTGAAATATAATATATATTATATAGTTTTTAATATATACATATTATTACATATTATTATTAGTAGTATTTTATTTTCTTTTTCCTAACTATTTTTATTTTTAATTTACTTTCATTTTTTTTAAGGTCTAATAAGAGTCCGAGTCCAAAAGGAGCCACGATCCAACGAAGGTAAGGAAGCAAGGGTTTAAGTCAGGGCCTGCCTGACCCAACATGCCAAGACCGGGAAGCAAGGAGTAAATACCCAGCAAGCCACTAAACCAGGCAAACAAGAGACCTAATGTACGTTAGGGTTTTACACATAACCCTAGTGTTGCATCATCAAGAGCCCTTAAATAGGGGAGCAAATCAACGGCCAAGAAAGCTCCAAAACATTCTAGAATATATAATACCCCCCGCAAGTAAACGGACTGCACTTGAAGACCACGCGCCGACCAAAACATCATTCCCAGATTTTCGCAACCGCGATATCAGGGGAAAACTTCCCAAAACACTGATCGAAGCAACAATCAACACCAAAATAGGCAACACAATAAAATCAAAACAAATCAGGAATGAATATTTTCATGAGATTCCCGACCAACAGGAACAACAATGAACCTGAGCAAATCGGGGATGAGGGGAAACAACCCCCGTCAAGGTTTTACATAACCCTAGTGTTGCATCATCAGAGCCCTTAATAGGGGAGAAATCACGGCCAAGAAAGCTCCAAAACATTCTAGAATATATAATCCCCCCGCAAGTAAACGGACTGCACTTGAAGACCACGCCGACCACAAAATCATTCCCAGATTTTCGCAACCGCGATATCAGGGAAAACTTCCCAAAACTGATCGAAGCAACAATCAACACCAAAATAGGCAACACAATAAAATCAAAACAAATCAGGAATGAATATTTTCATGAGATTCCCGACCAACAGGAACAACAATGAACCTGAGCAAATCGGGGATGAGGGAAACAACCCCCGTCAAGGGGCTATATATACCTGCAACGAATAATCTGAAAGGGGAGTTTTTAGGGAAGTCAGTATTCGAAACACACCAAGAAAACATAAAAAACAAAAAAAAGCATAAAGACGAGGCAAACTTAGCTTCGTTGTCGGGGAGGGGAAGAGTTGCCATCGATAAAAGCAAACATCCACTTAAAGGTTCGTCAGAGATAAAAGGTAAAAACGAGATATTTCAGTCTAGATTCGAGGGGATTTGTTTATGGTGATTCGATGTTCGGATTGGGTTTTTTAGAGTGAGATGAGTGTTTCGAGGTATCTTAGGGGTCTCCAACCACCATAGGCGGTGGTCGAAGTGATGGCAACGATGATGGTTCAACGAGGGAGCTTCAACCAGTAGGGAGAGTGTTTGAGAGAATTTGGGGTTAGAGTTTAGTGAGAATATTTTCAAATGAGATTGAAAATGGGTTTTTGGGTATTTATATACCAAGGATTGTTGTGTAAATACGAAATAGTTAACTATTTTTATATTCCCCTTAGTTTGAAGCGTAATCCACTTTGGTCACCATGTGTAATTTTACCCCCTGAATTTTAGATTTATTCAATTTAATCCTCATTTTATTTTATTATATTTTGTTAAATTAACCACTTTTTTTATCTTGCAACATTTAATTTTGTTTCCTTTCTTATTTTTGGTTTATTGTTTTTATCCTAACATTGATTTTATTTTGAGGAGCCAATTAAATTTTTGATTAATTGTCAAAGGTAAGTAATTTGGATCAAATATTTAAATTTGAATTTAACTTTTAATTTTTTTCAATTAAGACAATTGAGAAATCAAATTGGTACCGAAAGGGCAATACAGGGGTGCTAATCTTTCCCTGACTATAATCGACTCTCGAATTCGACAAATTTCTGGTAAATCGAAGATCAGGACCACGGTAAGTTATGGTATCCAATCAACCAAATTAAAATGATCAGGCCAAAATTGATTTTCGGTTGTCTTTATAAGAGAAAATTGTAAGTTTAAATTATAATTTATCCTTTTGATCCATGTTATTTACCTTTGATTTTTATTTTTCATATAAATAGTTGTACTGATGTTTTTTTAATGGTTTCATCTTTTTAAAAAAATCATCTCAAGCTCTATTCTCGAGCTCTAAACCTTTTTAAGTTAGGGTTAAAGCGACGCCTTCGTGGGAATTTATTCTCCGTAAGGACTAGTAAGTAACTTTCGGGATTCATATACCTTGTGTATTTGTGTGAATTTATTCTTCATGCATACATAAGGGAATGACGGGTACCTATTTTAGAACCAAAC